TGTATTGGAATTGAACTAGAACAGAACTAGAACAGAACTAGAACAGAACTAGAACAGAAATAGAACAGAACTAGAACAGAACTAGAACAGAACTAGAACAGAACTAGAACAGAACTAGAACAGAACTAGAACAGAACTAGAACAGAACTAGAACAGAACTAGAACAGAACTAGAACAGAACTAGAACAGAACTAGAACAGAACTAGAAGAACAGAACAGAACAGAACTAGAACAGAACTAGAACAGAACTAGAACAGAACAGAACTAGAACAGAACTAGAACAGAACTAGAACAGAACTAGAACAGAACTAGAACAGAACTAGAACAGAACTAGAACAGAACTAGAACAGAACTAGAACAGAACTAGAACAGAACTAGAACATAACTAGAACAGAACTAGAACAGAACTAGAACAGAACTAGAACAGAACTAGAACAGAACTAGAACAGAACTAGAACAGAACTAGAACAAAACTAGAACAGAACTAGAACAGAACTAGAACAGAACTAGAACAGAACTAGAACAGAACTAGAACAAAACTAGAACAGAACTAGAACAGAACTAGAACAGAACTAGAACAGAACTAGAACAGAACTAGAACAGAACTAGAACAGAACTAGAACAGAACTAGAACAGAACTAGAACAAAACTAGAACAAAACTAGAACAAAACTAGAACAGAACTAGAACAGAACTAGAACAGAACTAGAACAGAACTAGAACAGAACTAGAACAGAACTAGAACAGAACTAGAACAGAACTAGAACAGAACTAGAACAGAACTAGAACAGAACTAGAACAGCACTAGAACAGAACTAGAACAGAACTAGAACAAAACTAGAACAGAACTAGAACAGAACTAGAACAGAACTAGAACAGAACTAGAACAGAACTAGAACAGAACTAGAACAGAACTAGAACAGAACTAGAACAGAACTAGAACAGAACTAGAACAGAACTAGAACAGAACTAGAACTAGAACAGAACAGAACTAGAACAGAACTAGAACAGAACTAGAACAGAACTAGAACAGAACTAGAACAGAACTAGAACAGAACTAGAACAGAACTAGAACAGAACTAGAACAGAACTAGAACAGAACTAGAACAGAACTAGAACAGAACTAGAACAGAACTAGAACAGAACTAGAACAGAACTAGAACGGAACTAGAACAGAACTAGAACAGAACTAGAACAGAACTAGAACAGAACTAGAACAGAACTAGAACAGAACTAGAACAGAACTAGAACAGAACTAGAACAGAATAGAACAGAACTAGAACAGAACTAGAACAGAACTAGAACAGAACTAGAACAAAACTAGAACAGAACTAGAACAGAACTAGAACAGAACTAGAACAGAACTAGAACAGAACTAGAACAGAACTAGAACAGAACTAGAACAGAACTAGAACAGAACTAGAACAGAACTAGAACAGAACTAGAACAGAACTAGAACAGAACTAGAACAGAACTAGAACAGAAACTAGAACAGAACTAGAACAGAACTAGAACAGAACTAGAACAGAACTTGAGCAGAACATAACTAGAATATACCAAATACTAGATCAGAACTGAAATTGCATTCGATCGTAACATGACATATATCCAATTTTGTTAACCTTGAATTTTACTTTGTTTATTTCTAGCCCTTTGTTCATTAATTTGTTTACTCTAATGACTGTTTGTAAAGCAAAGGCTTGGTTAAAGTAGTAAAAACATAGAAATATTTATAACCAAATCAATAAATAATGCATTGTTTTCAATGTATAATGTCATATTTATCAATGTCTTTTCTGATGAGCGCCCTTTTTTACACAATTGTCTTATCATAAGAGACAAAAAACCAAATAAAAACAAATATACATAAATATGTTAACAATTCTATTACAGAATGTTGCAATACTCATAATTATAGTGATAAACAAAAATATTTACTAATATTCAAACTCTTCTGTTGTTTACTCCATAACAGACTTTCTTATCTGTGCATTTAATTGTATATCGATCAATGGCGTTTTTATTGAAAACAAAAATAAAATAATATTTTTGTTTTCAATAAAAATCAATCCATAAAGTATGCTTTCATTTTTTGTAAAATATTTTGTATTTTCTTTATCAAGTGTAGTAATAGGCATACACACATACATACATATGTATGTAGACATCTACATATTGATAAAAATAAATTTGCAAAAATAATTGAAAATAGAACTGGGGCGTATGAATATGGTTTATTTTCCATGTCAATACTCATACGTTAATGGGTTCGTTTTGTTTGTGGACATTCATGTAAGTGTGTTTAGTTGCGTATGATTGATTTTTTTTTTGCGTTTTGAAACATTGTGTATAATAATCCCTTAATTTACGCAGTTGGTGTTTATGAAAAATAGAAGGTCATTATAAAGATTTTTTATTTTTCTATTTTACAAAATTACATAAACACCAAATAAATATTTCATTTTAAAACTGGATGCCGATATCACTCGCAGGACAACACAAATTGTAATTTAAATAAACAAATTTTTAAGCTATGTAAATCTAGGGACAACTGTATTATTTCATACTCATGCTTATTTGTTTGTGGTTCTGTACTATAATAATTCTTTATATGAATATTAGTTTGTATATGTGAGTGTGTAGTAATTCACACATTTATTCGTTTTGAATTTTTTGCTGGGTTCTTATAAGTGGGGATATAGCTCAGTGGTAGAGCATTCGACTGCAGATCGAGAGGTCCCCGGTTCAAACCCGGGTGTCCCTTGGATTATTTTTTTTATTTTTAAAATTTTTTAATGTTTTTCTTTAATTTGTTGAAGTAAATTTTCATCATAATTAATGTTTAAAGCATATTTTAACTGAAATTAGATGTCAGATAAATACAAGTAAAATATATATGATTTTGGAAGATAATGTTAGAGTGCAGTTCCGCTTCTAGTTTAGCTAAAGGTTTGTTTCAGTTCAGCTCTAAATCGGTGCTAGTTCAGTTCTTGTTCAGTTGTAGTTTAGTTGTAGTTAAGTTGTAGTTAAGTTGTAGTTTAGTTGTAGATCATTTGTAGTTCAGTAGTTCAGTTCTAGTTCAGTTCAGTTAGTTCAGTTCAGTTCTAGTTCAGTTCTAGTTCAGTCAGTTCAGTTCTAGTTCAGTTCTAGTTCAGTTCTAGTTCAGTTCTAGTTCAGTTCTAGTTCAGTTCTAGTTCAGTTCTAGTTCAGTTCTAGTTCAGTTCTAGTTCAGTAGTTCAGTTCTAGTTCAGTTCTAGTTCAGTTCTAGTTCAGTTCTAGTTCAGTTCTAGTTCAGTTCTAGTTCAGTTCTAGTTCAGTTCTAGTTCAGTTCTAGTTCAGTTCTAGTTCAGTTCTAGTTCAGTTCTAGTTCAGTTCTAGTTCAGTTCTAGTTCAGTTCTAGTTCAGTTCTAGTTCAGTTCTAGTTCTTCTAGTTCAGTTCTAGTTCAGTTCTAGTTCAGTTCTAGTTCAGTTCTAGTTCAGTTCTAGTTCAGTTCTAGTTCAGTTCTAGTTCAGTTCTAGTTCAGTTCTAGTTCAGTTCTAGTTCAGTTCTAGTTCAGTTCTAGTTCAGTTCTAGTTCAGTTCTAGTTCAGTTCTAGTTCAGTTCTAGTTCAGTTCTAGTTCAGTTCTAGTTCAGTTCTAGTTCAGTTCTAGTTCAGTTCTAGTTCAGTTCTAGTTCAGTTCTAGTTCAGTTCTAGTTCAGTTCTAGTTCAGTTCTAGTTCAGTTCTAGTTCAGTTCTAGTTCAGTTCTAGTTCAGTTCTAGTTCAGTTTCTAGTTCAGTTCTAGTTCAGTTCTAGTTCAGTTCTAGTTCAGTTCTAGTTCAGTTCTAGTTCAGTTCTAGTTCAGTTCTAGTTCAGTTCTAGTTCAGTTCTAGTTCAGTTCTAGTTCAGTTCTAGTTCAGTTCTAGTTCAGTTCTAGTTCAGTTCTAGTTCAGTTCTAGTTCAGTTCTAGTTCAGTTCTAGTTCAGTTCTAGTTCAGTTCTAGTTCAGTTCTAGTTCAGTTCTAGTTCAGTTTAGTTCAGTTCTAGTTCAGTTCTAGTTCAGTTCTAGTTCAGTTCTAGTTCAGTTCTAGTTCAGTTCTAGTTCAGTTCTAGTTCAGTTCTAGTTCAGTTCTAGTTCAGTTCTAGTTCAGTTCTAGTTCAGTTCTAGTTCAGTTCTAGTTCAGTTCTAGTTCAGTTCTAGTTCAGTTCTAGTTCAGTTCTAGTTCAGTTCTAGTTCAGTTCTAGTTCAGTTCTAGTTCAGTTCTAGTTCAGTTCTAGTTCAGTTCTAGTTCAGTTCTAGTTCAGTTCTAGTTCAGTTCTAGTTCAGTTCTAGTTCAGTTCTAGTTCAGTTCTAGTTCAGTTCTAGTTCAGTTCTAGTTCAGTTCTAGTTCAGTTCTAGTTCAGTTCTAGTTCAGTTCTAGTTCAGTTCTAGTTCAGTTCTAGTTCAGTTCTAGTTCAGTTCTAGTTCAGTTCTAGTTCAGTTCTAGTTCAGTTCTAGTTCAGTTCTAGTTCAGTTCTAGTTCAGTTCTAGTTCAGTTCTAGTTCAGTTCTAGTTCAGTTCTAGTTCAGTTCTAGTTCAGTTCTAGTTCAGTTCTAGTTCAGTTCTAGTTCAGTTCTAGTTCAGCTCTAGTTCAGTTCTAGTTCAGTTCTAGTTCAGTTCTAGTTCAGTTCTAGTTCAGTTCTAGTTCAGTTCTAGTTCAGTTCTAGTTCAGTTCTAGTTCAGTTCTAGTTCAGTTCTAGTTCAGTTCTAGTTCAGTTCTAGTTCAGTTCTAGTTCAGTTCTAGTTCAGTTCTAGTTCAGTTCTAGTTCAGTTCTAGTTCAGTTCTAGTTCAGTTCTAGTTCAGTTCTAGTTCAGTTCTAGTTCAGTTCTAGTTCAGTTCTAGTTCAGTTCTAGTTCAGTTTCTAGTTCAGTTCAATTCTTGTACAATTCTACTTCAGCTCTAGCTCCAGTTCAGTTCAATTCTGGTCCTGTCTTAAATTTTTCTTAAATTTGCAAAGTTCAAGAATAAAATTTTATTTTTTAGTAAATTTTCTAAAACATTTATTTTTACACATTTTCAAAGATGCAATAAAATTTATACTTAGATTAATGATAAACTTATGAAATAGAACTAAATGTAACTATAATAAAAAAAAACAATTTTTAAGTAAAAAATAAATAATTCGAATAGTTTTGTTTGTATAATGGCTTCATACATAATTTTTGTCTCGTTTGTTTGTTTAAATGGAAGGATTTCATAACAAATAACAATAAATACTTCTGATTTTTTTGGTGAAATAAATATTTTTGGTTTTGGGATCATACCTTTTTTTAAATAAGTAGGTTTTTAATACAAATTTTGTTCATTAAAATTTAATATGGTTATGGAAAGCCAAAAAACGAGCTGGTATTTAATTTGTTTGCTAAAAATCCGTTTAAATACTTTGTAATAAAGCTTTGATATTTAAAGCCCTTTAAGTACATGTTTGAAAACCTCATCTAAAGATTTCCTGTATTCTGCTTAATGAATAAACGGAATTGATTACTTCCGGCTTATAAACACCGCCACTACAGCAACAATTAAAGCGGTTGTTGAAACATTGAGAGCAGAGCTTCCATTACATTTGGGTGCGAGAACAGGGATAACATTTATTAATTTGTTCATTAGGATGCTGGGCTCTCCCATTGACCACAGACGGATTCCATGGTGTGAACACGAGAACAGCCACGATTGACCACCGTGGTGCCATTTACTGAAAGAATAACACAATATATTAGAGATTTGTGTGTTTTTAATTAAATGGTTAACTCACCTGTTGTGGCATGGACTTTATAACAATGATAGGTTACATCACTGACTGATCTCAATTGACGTACTCTAAACTCGGCTGATGGTTTATAGGCTTTAGTGGTGGCATGTTCAACTTCAACGCTTTCAACTTCATCCTTGTCGACGTTTTGTTCATGTGCCAAACTATGATTGTTCAAACTTTCTACATCATCTAGGGGCTTAATAGTGCCTGGATTGGGTGGTGTTGGTATACCTGTGGTAGTCATAGGTGGTCCAACTGTAGGCGGTGTTGGTGGTTGCGCCTCTGTAGAAGTTGTAGGTCCATGTGAAGTTTCCACAATTTCTTCGGATGTAGATTCTGTTGTTAATTCTGTGGTAGTTTCAGTTGTCAATTCAGTAGTCGTTTCAGTTGTTGTAGTTGTTGGTGTTGTTGGCTCTTCTGTTGTTACAGTTGTGGGGGTTGTATCTTCTTTTGTTGAGGCGTCACTGTCTTCTGTTATACCTGGGGATGTCTTTTGGCATTTCTGTCGTCGTCTGTACGGATGAATCTGTTGATCCGCCAGTATTAAAATAATCTTCATTACATTCAACTTGTGGTGTTTCTACGGTGACTTGGGCACAATTTTCACAGACATAACACATCAGCTGGCCATGGCATACTGAAAAGATGAGAAAATATTTTGGAATAAATATTATATAAAATGTTTGTATAGGTAATTTTAGGTTAAGTTTAAAATTCTAGTTCAGTTCTAGATCAGTTCTAGTTCAGTTCTAGTTCAGTTCTAGTTCAGTTCTAGTTTCAGTTCTAGTTCAGTTCTAGTTCAGTTCTAGTTCAGTTTCTAGTTCAGTTCTAGTCTAGTCAGTTCTAGTTCAGTTCTAGTTCAGTTCTAGTTCAGTTCTAGTTCAGTTCTAGTTCAGTTCTAGTTCAGTTCTAGTTCAGTTCTAGTTCAGTTCTAGTTCAGTTCTAGTTCAGTTCTAGTTCAGTTCTAGTTCAGTTCTAGTTCAGTTCTAGTTCAGTTCTAGTTCAGTTCTAGTTCAGTTCTAGTTCAGTTCTAGTTCAGTTCTAGTTCAGTTCTAGTTCCAGTTCTAGTTCAGTTCTAGTTCAGTTCTAGTTCAGTTCTAGTTCAGTTCTAGTTCAGTTCTAGTTCAGTTCTAGTTCAGTTCTAGTTCAGTTCTAGTTCAGTTCTAGTTCAGTTCTAGTTCAGTTCTAGTTCAGTTCTAGTTCAGTTCTAGTTCAGTTCTAGTTCAGTTCTAGTTCAGTTCTAGTTCAGTTCTAGTTCAGTTCTAGTTCAGTTCTAGTTCAGTTCTAGTTCAGTTCTAGTTCAGTTCTAGTTCAGTTCTAGTTCAGTTCTAGTTCAGTTCTAGTTCAGTTCTAGTTCAGTTCTAGTTCAGTTCTAGTTCAGTTCTAGTTCAGTTCTAGTTCAGTTCTAGTTCAGTTCTAGTTCAGTTCTAGTTCAGTTCTAGTTCAGTTCTAGTTCAGTTCTAGTTCAGTTCTAGTTCAGTTTAGTTCAGTTCTAGTTCAGTTCTAGTTCAGTTCTAGTTCAGTTCTAGTTCAGTTCTAGTTCAGTTCTAGTTCAGTTCTAGTTCAGTTCTAGTTCAGTTCTAGTTCAGTTCTAGTTCAGTTCTAGTTCAGTTCTAGTTCAGTTCCAGTTCAGTTCTAGTTCAGTTCTAGTTCAGTTCTAGTTCAGTTCTAGTTCTAGTTCAGTTCTAGTTCAGTTCTAGTTCAGTTCTAGTTCAGTTCTAGTTCAGTTCTAGTTCAGTTCTAGTTCAGTTCTAGTTCAGTTCTAGTTCAGTTCTAGTTCAGTTCTAGTTCAGTTCTAGTTCAGTTCTAGTTCAGTTCTAGTTCAGTTCTAGTTCAGTTCTAGTTCAGTTCTAGTTCAGTTCTAGTTCAGTTCTAGTTCAGTTCTAGTTCAGTTCTAGTTCAGTTATAGTTCAGTTATAGTTCAGTTCTAGTTCAGTTCTAGTTCAGTTCTAGTTAAGTTCTAGTTCAGTTCTAGTTCAGCACTAGTTTAGCACTAAAGTTTACTATAATATCTTATCAATGTTATTGACCTCCGTAAATGAGTTTTTTTTTATACAAAAAATATGATTTAATGGTAATATTGACAGTAATTTCCAGTAGCAAATATTACTGATAAGATTCATAATTGCTTTACGATTGTAATAATCGCAGTAACTCCTATAATCGTTGTACTGCGTTTACTGACTCTTAATACCAACAGAGACATTACGCACACTTAACAATGAATATTTGAATAAATATTTAATTGAATTAAACAATAAATGTATTATTCATTAAACTAATTTAAAGGTGGGATTTTCTTTGTTAAGCTCTTAAATAAAACTTTTTTTATGTTTTAAATAAATAAAGACCTGTTTTTCGCAGTAATGCAAATTTGTTTATAATTCATTTTATATTTATTTGACTCTTGATAATTAACTGTCTTTAATAAATGTATCTTATAAGGTGTTATTCTTTTTTTATTATCTATATAATTACTTCTATCGTAGTATGTAGTATGTAAACAATAAAAGCGAAAAGTTATAAAACAAAAATAAAAATATAACTGGAAAAAATCCCACATAATATTAAATAAATGCTAATCTGTAGATATACTATATAGTAGTACTGACTTCTAATAATAAAATATTAATAATTAATATTCAAAATATTGTGTTAAGAAATATTAATTTACATGTTACAGGAGTTAGACAAAACAGTAAAAAAAAAAAAAACTAAAAAACCCAGAATTATTAAAATAAAACGCCATTTGTTTTGTAAGTTTTAACCCATTAGGAACTGCAGTGACTTAAATCAATGCTGCAAGTATTTTAAAAAAATACAAATACAAAATTAATATAATTAATGATAAGCCGATTATATCAAATGATCGATTCTCTAGGTTTAGATGATAATGTGGAATCCTGCTAGTGAGCTGTCACTTTGACAGTAGATTATTTTCGTTCAAATCGGTTCTATTGTTTTCCTTAGTGACGACATTTTAGTTCTGAATATTGAAGATGTAACAAAGGAAAAATGTTTATATTATAAACTCTATATGAAAATGGATTTTATTAAATTATTTGTAATTTAAATAGACAGTTGCTGCTAATTTAAAAACTACGTGGATTTAAATTTTAAATAAAAACAGAAAAACCAGTTAGGATTTATACAATAAACAACAAATAAACTTAAAGAAATTATATATTTTTCTAAAAAAATTTTTTATATGTATTCTAAAACGTGCTGCTGAATGCGCACAAGAAACCGGTAAATTTGAATTAAAACTTAATTGCAATGATGTTTATATTATATTTTTCAAAAATTCATCACTTCAGGAGAGTGCAGAAGCAATTGAATGATGTTCACGTTTTTTTTTTTCGTGAAAAAAAATAACTAAACATTTGCTTTACAAATGCTTTGTGCATTTAGACATAATTGAAAATATGTATTAAAAAAATTGGCTAAATAACATATTTTTCATACGATTGCGAGTATTATAGATTAAATTTAATCATATGAAGAATGTCAATTTCATTTAAGTAAAATAATCAAACTGATTGTCACATTTAGTTAAAATTGTATGTATTTTGTTGGCAGCAGGTATTTGATATTTTGTATTACTATATGATGACGTTTTATAAGAGAATTAAGAATATTTAGTGTGTCTAGGGTTTAGAGTTCGGGAATTCCCGGCAATTATGAATTTCCCAATCAATATACATGCATGCGTTTATGTTGTTTTAATTGAATGAGTCTTAGTCTAGCATATGTCTAGTTGTGTTCTAGTTTATAGTTCTGTTCTAGTTCTGTTCTAGTTCTGTTCTAGTTCTGTTCTAGTTCTGTTCTAGTTCTGTTCTAGTTCTGTTCTAGTTTATGTTCTAGTTCTGTTCTAGTTCTGTTCTAGTTCTGTTCTAGTTCTGTTTAGTTCTGTTCTAGTTCTGTTCTAGTTCGTTATAGTTCTGTTCTAGTTCTGTTCTAGTTCTGTTCTAGTTCTGTTCTAGTTCTGTTCTAGTTCTGTTCTAGTTCTGTTCTAGTTCTGTTCTAGTTCTGTTCTAGTTCTGTTCTAGTTCTGTTCTAGTTCTAGTTCTAGTTCTGTTCTAGTTCTGTTCTAGTTCTGTTCTAGTTCTGTTCTAGTTCTGTTCTAGTTCTGTTCTAGTTCTGTTCTAGTTCTGTTCTAGTTCTGTTCTAGTTCTGTTCTAGTTCTGTTCTAGTTCTGTTCTAGTTCTGTTCTAGTTCTGTTCTAGTTCTGTTCTAGTTCTGTTCTAGTTCTAGTTCTGTTCTAGTTCTGTTCTAGTTCTGTTCTAGTTCTGTTCTAGTTCTGTTCTAGTTCTGTTCTAGTTCTGTTCTAGTTCTGTTCTAGTTCTGTTCTAGTTCTGTTCTAGTTCTGTTCTAGTTCTGTTCTAGTTCTGTTCTAGTTCTGTTCTAGTTCTGTTCTAGTTCTGTTCTAGTTCTGTTCTAGTTCTGTTCTAGTTCTGTTCTAGTTCTGTTCTAGTTCTGTTCTAGTTCTGTTCTAGTTCTGTTCTAGTTCTGTTCTAGTTCTGTTCTAGTTCTGTTCCAGTTTGTTCTAGTTCTGTTCTAGTTCTGTTCTAGTTCTGTTCTGTTCTAGTTCTGTTCTGTTCTAGTTCTGTTCTAGTTCTGTTCTAGTTCTGTTCTAGTTCTGTTCTAGTTCTGTTCCAGTTCTGTTCTAGTTCTGTTCTAGTTCTGTTCTAGTTCTGTTCTGTTCTAGTTCTGTTCTAGTTCTGTTCTAGTTCTGTTCTAGTTCTGTTCTAGTTCTGTTCTAGTTCTGTTCTAGTTCTGTTCTAGTTCTGTTCTAGTTTCTGTTCTAGTTCTGTTCTAGTTCTGTTTCTAGTTCTGTTCTAGTTCTGTTTAGTTCTGTTCTAGTTCTGTTCTAGTTCTGTTCTAGTTCTGTTCTAGTTCTGTTCTAGTTCTGTTCTAGTTCTGTTCTAGTTCTGATCTAGTTCTGTTCTAGTTCTGTTTAGTTCTGTTCTAGTTCTGTTCTAGTTCTGTTCTAGTTCTGTTCTAGTACTTTTTTGTCCTATTCCGTTCTGTTCTAGTTCTAATTCTCATTCTAGTTCTGTTTTAGTTCTCTTCAAATTTGTAGGGTATTTGAACATTCCACCTTAACTGCATTTCTTAAACCATGTCGTAGCCGCAATTGGACTTTATCAGGGGTGACATGAATGAATTTACATTTTTGTTCTTTGAACACATGAATGATAAAATTCCCTACAATTTTAAATATTTTGATTGATTTGATTTTATTCATTAATTATTTCTTTATTAATTAATATTTTTTTTTGCTCTTCAAGCAACAAATAAATAGTTTTAAAAGTTAAGTCACTCATTCCCATAGAGTTTGGGGATTTAAATTAAGCAGACCTTTGCATTTTGGCGGCACATGAGGAAGTTTCCGCTGGTGGCTTAAGTTGCAGAAGTAAGTGGTAATAGAAAACTTTATGAAATTTAAAAAAACGTTCTGAATTGTTCTCTGATGATTAAACTGAATGTGAATAAATTTTTGTTTGTTTTATTTTTTTTTTGTTGAAGATATAAATTTTCTTTTTATGATATTTTTTATATAAATTCAAGGCCAATTTTTTGTCTGTCATGTAGTTTTTTTTTTTAAAGTTACATATTCATTTTATAGTTTTTTTT